CGTAAGCTTTCAGACAAGTGGTATGGCCCTGTTGAAGTACTAAAGAAGGTTGAGGAGAGCTGGGAGTTGAAGTTACCGGAAGAATGGAAAATCCATCCTGTATTTCACTCCCATTTGCTGCGGAAGTTCGTACAGGACCCACTACCAGGACAGGTTCGACAAGTCCCAGCACCAATTCAACTACTCCCTGAGCAAGACGAATGGGAAATTGAGGGGATATTAAGCTCCCGAGTCTATCATAACACTCTCCAGTACTAGATTCGATGGAAGGTTGCTGGCGAAGACTTCGAATGGTACCCCTGCTCCTACGCTATGACAGCACCTCATATGATCAAGAGATTCCATATACACTACCCAACAGCCAGGGGACCACCTAGACTACTCCCGAAGTGGCTAGAGGCGTACAACAATGGTATCAACGACTACTCCAAATTGGAAGACGATCACGCTATGACTGCAACTGTGCGGTCGCAGTTCTTCAGGAGGGGGGGGTAATGTCACGATCCGTGAGAGCCGTATTGCGTGCGTGTGGGGATACGGGTTAGCGCGCCTTGGCATCACATTGGATGACTGAGCACAGCCGAGGGAGATATCTTAGAGAGGGTCGAGAGTGGCTACTTCCTCTCTTCGTCTTTTATTGCCTTTACAAGCTTACCTCTTGATAGCAATATTATAACTTATACAACCTCCTTGACGTGCTGTAACACTACATCTCTGTGATCTACAATAACCAGATGCAGGGGTGGTTATGTCATCAATCACAACACTGATGCGCACTCCAGTGCTGGGCCTGATCGAACCTGATGCATAGCCGTGATTGCAGATGCTGCAACTCCCGCTTTCTCAGTGATCATCTTCTTTATTGTGACTGGAGACAATTTGCGCCAGCCATGTTCTTGCCCCAATCTGAAAAAGAGACGTTTGTCTTCTGTTAGGGGGTTTTGTGCATTAGGCTTTGCATCTGTGGGCCTTCGAGGGGTGGGGAACGCGGGTGGATCTGGGAGCTTAGCCGCTTTCCGAGCTACTGTAACCCACGGGTTCGCAGTCTCCTGTGACTTTTGGGGCAGGTGGTGGTGCGATTTATCGCTTGTTTTTGTCGCCCTTGGCGCAGAGGTTGTTAGCTCCGTGACTTCGGGGTGTGGGGTCTTGCCTTTGGGGACTGTAGCATCGGTCTTTCCTATTGCAAACGCTGTCACTACAGGTGATATTTTTTCGATGAAAGGCGCGACTAGAACCGCGCCTTCAATTCCTGCCTTGGACTTCGCCCAGGCGTCAATATTTTGTAGAAAATCCTGAGCTAGGCTCATTCTCTGCTTTCGTTCGCGCTCTGATTACTCCATTGCAGCAGCAATCCCAAGAAGGCTCGGGTATAGTTGGTCGCCTGGGTCGATTGACGCTGAGGACGACGGCTGATTGTGCTAAGCCATAGTGCTGCTCGATTTGACGGTTTGTAAGAAACCTGGATAGGTATAATGGTGTGCGTGTATGGGATAGATTGGATACTAGTAAATATGTAGCGAGCTTAGTGCTGAGTTGAATATCTCACGAAAATTTCATGACGAAAAAACTCATCGACCAGCCCCTCAACCGCCGCATCCCCCACAGCCTTGCAGAATGGTATTTGCCAGTCAAGCAGTCCCATTCGACAACGAAAACCTTCAATTTTGGAACTCATAGGAATTTGAGGAAATAAATCAGAATCTTACATAGGATAATTATGGAGATTATAATGAATTTCAGGGGAATTATAATATTAAAATCTGTTGAAATGAAATAACAATTGTTATACTAATAAAGACTTAACAAAATTACAATATACACATCCAGTCATATATACACCATTCATAGTCCACGAGTGATCCAGCTCTGTAGAGCCAATACTAATGTCTTCTACTCGTGTTCTTTACTCGTGTCCTGAACAGAGCGAGTGATCTGTCTTCCCGCCTCCTCTTTAATATCCGAAGGCCACCATCACGTGACCTTGATCTTCCATAGCACAACATATCATGCATACTTCCTGCCCAACTGGTGACCACTAACAGTCAGGTAAATATGTGACCCATTTATTACTTACTCCGTAATAATAATATATATATTAAGTCTCAACAAAATCTAAAGATAGGAATTTAGCAGCGGCGCCTCTAATGCTGACGCCATGTGCCTGGAAGATTCAAAATTAAGGACACTAATTGTAACGATTCTTATAATTCTGGATTAGCGCTGAGGACGTACAACTAATTCTGGGTGCAACAAGGCCTTGGAATCACGATGAAAATTTCTGATTTAGATGAGGCGAATGGCGTGTATCCGGATTACAGAGTACTAGACGAGGAGTCGCGCCAGGATTGAGATTTGTTTAGTTTAGTTTAGTTTAATTTGTCGTGCCGGGCTGACACCTTCCGTCCAGTGGACATGACACGCATGGAGGACATCTAGAATACAAGTTCCTCCATTCTCCAGGAAAGCCCATCCGGTGTCTGACTTTTCCAAATACGTGCCCCACGCTAGTTACATCGGGTCGAATAGGTAGGAACGCATTCACCATGATCCCAAGACCATGTATTGAGGGAAAACCTCAATAATTCCTCTTGTACTCTTTCACGACGAGCAGCCGTAGTCCCCCTTTAAACAGGCCGTGTAGGAATCCAACCTACCACTTCTAGAAAGCACATCCAGCACCCGACCAACTGTGCCAACAGCCTGTTGAAAATCACCTATCGTTCTTCCCAAATTCTCCCCCGCATTGCACTCAACCCCCACTTGAGGGGGCTGAAATTCCGAAATCGAGAGCTCAAAGCCGAGGCATCGGTGCCCCAGCTTTTGTCGTACATTTTTCGTTGTCTGAGTGAGGCTTCTTCGCTCGCGCCGTCTTTGGAATGTGTCGAAAAGTTGAGAATGTTGATGTCGCGATCGAGGTGCTTGTCTAAAATGAGGCCGAGCAATTGTTCAGTCCTGCACACAATGTTAGTAAGGTTGAAAGCGGAAGGAATTTTATCTTTGATTTTGGAGGATTGTTGGTGAGTCTTAAAGTCCTCCCAGTCAAACTCAATCGGGAAGTTGTTAGAAGACTGAATAGAAGAAACCCAATCTTAAACTTTTGATCTATCGTGCCGGGAACGGAACCTAGCCCATGTGCCAATCGAAATCGACTGGGCCATGCTCAGCAAGCTGCCCTTGCGAAGGTAAGATTGAAGTTTTTTTGCTTACTACTAATTAATTTTATCGTCATTTCTAAGTCTAGGACTATATAGGACATTGGGCTCCTCTCTGGCCCAGGCCACACCTTGACCAGTGCTCCTTGCCTCTCGTGCTACTTGAAAGATCACTGATATGCTGTCCTTGATGAATAGCCATTCAGCTCAGTATTTACCCGTGTAATTCGGTCACTTTTTCCACGGAACCTTTTACACAAAAACAAAAAATATATTTTTTTAGTTCATTTTATTCTCCTCTCTGAGTCTATGACTATTTAGGACATGCAGGTCCTCTCTGTCTAAAGGCCAAGGATACCCATCTAGTAGTATAGCCCCTCCTATACCTCCCACACAGCTCCTATCAGATAGTACCACCCCTCACAAGTCCTCATTCGATCATACACTTAGAGAAATCCTTTGCCCTTCATTGTCTCCCCTCTCCAGCCAACGAAACGATGGCCATTTACGGGTGTATGGCAGCCGGGAAAAATCGCAAAAACCACTGGGTGCGGAGTTCTCCTAATGCCGAAGTTAGGACTAAACCCGAAGACATAGTGACCTTTCCGAAGCGTTCGAAGAGGTCGGCCAGCTGGGCGCTGCAGACTTGTGAGTACCTCGGAGAATTCACACTCTGCCTTTCTAGCCTCCTTCCCGAAGGTCGTGCTGACATTTCAGAAAATTCTTGACAGAGCGTGATTTTAAATTGAATAATTTAACGTATCAGGCTAGAGTCCAACACCAAGGAGGCTTGACACGGGTGCGTGTTCCCGGGGGGACCCACAAACACCACTGATGCTGGCTTTATGTGGCCAAAAATTTACATGATCTAATAAAGACAAAAATTTCATCAAAAACTTTTGCTGCCCTGACTCAACGCCCTGCGCCTAGCCAGCTATCTCATAGCAGTTTCCTGTACGATATGTATCCCAGAAAACCTCGGTCAATCAAGTCCTACTTTGCACCCCGTAGTATCCTGTTACGGTAAGGAATCTCTAAAAAGCTATCCATCCCTTTTCTTCCAACATTGTCCATATACTTGGTGCTGTTTCCTTTGTTGTTTTCCGCCAATCATTTAGCGCTGTCCGGTATTCAGAGAAATGCCACACAGAGCGTGTTTGCTGTACGGTAGCTTAGCCTAACTTCTTTTGTGCCGTCCAGGGCGCTGGGGAATGCCGTTGACTTATCAACAAAAGAAGCCCTCCTGGCTAATAAGCCGAAATCTTAGTCTTGGCGTCCACAAAAGATCCAAAGTTGAAAACTCCTCGAAATGTCAGTCCCAGCATGGTCTTCAGAGACCTGTTCCCCTCGTCGCTCCACATCTCAGCCGCCTATCCTTCCTCAAGATGTATAACCCCATCAGAGTAACAGTCCCTCATAGACCAAGACCCGAGCTTTGTAAATTATGACTCAATTTCCTACTTGCTGGTATAGGTAGGGTCGTAAGTTTGTATTGGATGATGGCCGGTCATGAATGAGGCATGCACTTATTTGCAATTGGTATGATGCCATTATCGGTTGTTGAGCATATTCTTTCATGAAGCCTCGCTTTTCAGGCTATCAAGAGATCCACATTGTTATGCTATCTCACGTGAGGATCAAACTACATAAGTAAAGCTTTTTATCTAGACAATAACCAGCATCCGCATTTCATGTGCTGGATTAAATTCAAATATCGCAAGAAGTCATCTTGATGTTAGTACTACCGAAAACTCACTGCAAATCACCTGCAATGTTTTAAACTTGTAATATGAATTAGATAAAATAGACACTAGAAGGGCTCTTAAACGGGGTCAGAGAATACACATCATGATCCAAGGCATTTTTTTTGCCGTATTTCTTCCTCAAAAAGGTATCTTGTGGACTGGCTAATCAAGTTCTGATCCAACTTGTAATTTAGTTTGGCCCGAACTTGTCTTGTACTGCAACGCTATTATGTTCTAACGATACATCAGGTACGAAAGTTGTATACCAGAGTCCTGCATGTTCAATTACTCCTGAGATCGGCGTTGAAAAGGCTTGCCTGCTAGACTTTGAAGCGATTGCCGAGTTTGTCATTCCGAGACAAGTGTTTTGTAATCGCTACATCACTGTTTGCGATCCGAGTAATAAGTATCGCATACTCGGCCATCCCGTCTGCATTCAGAACCAAAAGTACGTACGCAATGAGTTTATATTCAACTTCTGTATCGTTATCAAGACGGACACAGATCCATTACCGTATGAAACAGTGGTACGTCGGTTGGCGGGCACTTTTACGGAGATGGAAATCCAGAAACAATTTCTAAGTGAAGAGGTAAAGGAAGAGAGCCTGCAAAACACACGAGGCCGACATTCAATCGCTGCGTTGCTTGAAATTATTAAAGAAGATTTGAATAATTATCATGAATGCATGATACCCGCCGGTAAATATATATCCCGATCAAGCTTTGTAACTGATTTTGACTAGATGATGCCAACACCATAAACATGAAATTATTCCCGGTTCGACGGCCTCCTCCACCGGTGAAATCCTGGCATGTTCCAGTGCTAAAGATCCACCTCTCAAAATATATGGACGATACATGGGATCTCACACTGGTCAAGGTGATCAATTTTATTGATGGTATCCGCGATGTCAGACGCATCTCTTATGACGCAGACGTATGCATATATTTGGCAAAAGTAGCCCTCCAACACCTTCTTTATTATGACGCAATTCTTCTATTAGATATATTCTTTTTCAGTAATATCTACGCCCCTAATCCGCACATTCGAGGGTTTATAACCAATGAAGATCAGATGCAAGAAGAGTGTAGTAACTATGTCTGCATAAACGGGCCTATGGTAGATAATTTTTATCTAAGCCGCTTATATACCTCTCTCGCGCCCGGCAGGACACTAATTGCGTGGCTCAAACTTCATAGAGACGATGGACTAGAAGTATTGGACCATATTGATGTTCGTCGCTTTATTCAATTCGGAATAATAAAGGGGTTCCTTTACCGTATCCATACCTACGCTTTATCATCTCAGATTAGTATCTCACCTACTACCAAGGATACTGTGAGTGATACAAGTAAGAGTGATGATCTAGTGAATTATGCAGATGGCTGCCACTGTTTTGACCAAATCATAGTTGAGAAGAACCTATCACAGACTCAAATTATGGAGCAATTACTTGCTATAGCTAATGTGGATGTAGAAATAATCTACCGGTAATCTTTGAAACCAAGGGTTTGGGCCGGAAGTCAAGGGCTTGACAAGAAAACTGGACTATTTAGTCATTTCTTTACAGCATGATCACCAATCTTACCGAATGCACAAGTAAACTGATAAATTCTTACAAAACTGAACAGTAACCGTAGATTTCCTACTTGAGAATGATAATAAATGCACGGAGGGATAAGCCGAGAAATTTCCAGCTTCTTGCCGTCGAAGACGAATTCCTCCCCTTCCAGTAGTGCCAGTGTAGTAACTCAATATGCTCTGCATATTCGTGATAGACAAGAATATTGCATTCGAATCGAATTAGAGATCAAACACAAACATATCTGTAATCAGCGATTTCTCATCAATGAAGGTTTTGTCATTCTCACGGGAGTTCTCTTTCTTAACCTTAACATACACCAGCTCACCTCAACGGCCGATAAAGGCGTTACTATTAGGGAAACAGAATAAGTCCTATTAAAAAGATTGTAGAACCTCCAGTATCGTATGACCCGACTCACTTAGTTACGAGCCGTGCACTGTATGAACGATAGACCCGTCAGTCAATATTCATCGATTAATATATACGATCAGTCGTAGAGATGATCTATCAAGTGGAGGAGCTGTCATACTTCGATGACTCAATTCATTGACAAAGTAGTTCTTACTTATACAAAAGAATGAGATACTTTTATAGTAAATTAGATTAGTGAACCACAGTTTGATGGATGGGTATTTCTATAAGATCCAACTCATTTCACGACTTTCGGAGCCGGAAAAGACGGATTCTTCACCTTCCAGTGGTGCCGGTGTAATCGCTCAGTATGCTCTGCATATCTGGGATAGCCAAGAATAATCGCATCCAAATCGAAGTCGAAAAAAAACACATGCATGTCTCCATTTGACGACTTCTCAATCATACAGCACTCACCATTATCTTCTGAGTCCCTATCTTTCTAAGCACACATCATCTCGCCTCGACGACCGATATAGGCGTCACCCCAATTGCAAACAGGAGCCTGCCTCAACCATTACCGACCATTACTCACTACAAATTTAAGACGCTACGTATACCTGTAGGAGGAAATTAAGTCATAATTTACAAAGTTGGGATCTTGGTTTACGGGGGTCTGTTGATCTAATGGGGCTCTACATCTTGAGGAAGGACAAGCGGCTGAGATATGGAATAAGAGGGGGAACAGGTCTCTGAAGACCATGTCAGGACTGATATTTTCGAGGAGTTTTCAACTTTGGATTTATTGTGGGCGCCAAGGCTAAGATTTCGGCTAATTGGCCAGGAGGGCTTCTTTTGTCGATGAGTCAAAAGCACTCCCCAGCGCCCTGGACGGCACTAAAGAAGTAAGGCTAAGCTATTATACAGCAATCACGCCCTATCAAGACTTTTCTGACATTTCAGCACGACCTTCGAGATGGAGTTGGAAGGAGGCTAGAAAGGTAGAGTGTGAATTCTCCGAGGTACCTCTTAAAGTTCTAGGGGGTATCTGGAATGATAGAAGTGAACGTTGACCGTCAAGTCAATACTGTACGAATCGTAGATATTGGGGATTTAAGGATCAGAGATAAAAGGTTAGGATCAGTGAGGTTTTGATTTTACTGAACTTATATTTCGGTAATTAGGAATGTTAGTGTTTAATCTACATCTAATTGTCTATCTATGTTCTACCTCGCTTAGGTAGAAATATCGTGTTCTGATTACGTGATGGAATAACATTCACACCACCGAGATCATCACCAACCGAGACCTCACCAAAGCTGGTAGCGATCGAAGATGAGTAGTCTTAGTCTACTCCACACTGCGTGCAGTTCGGTCTGGCATGTCTAGATTTCAACAGTACCCACAAGTCTGCAGCGCCCAGCTGGCCGACCTCTTCGAACTCATCAGAAGGATTACTATGTCTTCGGATTTAGTCCTAATGTCGGTATTAGGAGAACTCCACACCCAGTGGTTTTTGCGATATTTCCCGGCTACCATACACCCGCAAATGGCCATCATTTCGTTGGCTGGAGAGGGAAGATAATGAAGGGCAAATGATTTCTCTAAGTGTATGATCGAATGAGTATTTGTGAGGGGTGGTACAGTTTGAGGGGAGCTGTATGGAAGGTACAAGATGGGATATACTTCTGGTATAGGTATCCTTGGTCTGTAAGCAGATAGGACCTGCATGTCCTACATAGTCATAGACTCAGACAGGACAATAAAATGAAATAATAATAATAATGTTAGAATTTAGAATAATTGGGGCTATCAAGTAGGCCACGTTGTTGGCACACACGTGACTACAAATTCTGTACTTAGTTTCACTTCGGTAGTCACTTGAATCAATGCGCTCTACAACCTCAATGACTGAGGGGTCATTATTTCCTTAATAAATAATAATATAGAAAAAACATCATCATTTGGTCAAAAGCGGCACCATGTTCCACGAACGTTATTTCATCGTTTTAATTAATGCTACCGTCCTAATCGGCCCATCTTATCCGATTCCCCGAATTTTTTTCGCTGCGCTTCGGCAGGGTGGATTGGGGAACCAGAAATGTAGTTTTCACGGGAGGGAAAATTTTCACCGCACCACCAAAACCCCCAACGGACAGCGGAACAGCCGCAATTATGGCTGTAGATTCTCTCGCGATATCTACAGGCGTTAACATGGATAACCTAAAGATAATAGGGTTTTTTTTGAATAAGTTTCGCAACAGACTGGTCATAGCAGGTACTAACCCAACTGTGACACCGATGGCGGAGGTAGATGGGGCTATTGACGCCCTCAAGTCGCACGTATTGTCACTACAATTGACAATGAAAACGACACCAATGGAAGAAAGGATGCCGGCCTTAGAGAAGGCAGTAACGAAGGGTCTCGGGGAGCCAGTGCGCAAGATGGCTCCTCAGTCGCCCAAGGAATGGGAGGTCGACCCACTTATGCTTCAGTCGTCGCACCTCTAGCGACTAAAGCGGCAGTACGAATAAGAATACAAGGTGCGGACAAGATGCAGCCGGCAGAGCTGCTTAATAAGGCAAAAACACATATTGAGGGGGCATACGCCGTAAGGCAGTTAAGGAGTAACGACACTGTGGTGTTCGTGCAGTCGATCTCCCAGCGAGACGCTGCCCTGAATAAGGCTCAGCCAAAGGAGTTCTGCATCGTAAAGTAGGATTTTCCTGTTGAGATTTTGTGAGTCCCATTGGAGACAATGATACATGGAGGAATAAATGCCGACAACGGCAGAATTATATATCAAATAAAAACGGAGACAAATGTTCGGATTCCTGGAGTCCAAATTAACAGGTTAAGGTGGCTTTACGATGGAAAGGAGCACCAATGGATGAGGAAAAATGGCTATACTCGAGGGTCGGTGATCGCGAGCCTGCCGATAGAGGCTCTTTAATGCGAGGTTATTCGAAACGGAATTGTGCTCAATTTAATGCTGTACACGGCCCAGCTCTGGTCACCCCGAGCTCAAGTCAAGCAGTGTTTCATCTGCAGTCAATGGGGGCATACTCAAGCCTTGTGCAATAGGGCGAAGAGATGTGGTGAGTGCGCGGGCACTCACCAGACTAGAGACTGCCCGAGGAAGTCGGTGCTTTGCTGCAACTGCAGCAAAGCCCATAAATTGTGGCAGAAGGGGACGTGTCCAAACTTCGCGTCGTATAAGGCAAGTGTCCAGAGGGCACGAAATGAACTTTTGGAGAGGACGGCAGATCTAAGAATGGAGGAACTAACAGCAGCGGCCACTCCAATATCAACAGCGGCAAAACAAGTAGACAACCAAGGGTTTACAATCGTGCCTAACCAGAAGGCGGAGGTCGGAAAGAGAGGGCCAGGGCTCCCGCGGAAACATGTACTAGTCCCGGCAATAAAACCACTATCAACACCATTGGCGTCAACTTCAAGACCAGAGGCATCCATTTTCAACACGCGAGGAAAAGGGAAGGATGCCGAGGTATACTTTAGCTAGTTCTGTCTCGAACTAACAGCCATTTGTGCTTCCTGTAGGTTAACAAAGAACCACACATATAATTTGAAGGTGTAGGGGTTTTTTATCAGAGGGTTTCCCCCTCATGTAAAATTACTATAAATAGAGTTTAAAGCCACCTGCATGGGCCCATAGGGCGCCAAATCAGGTTAATGAAATCAAAATCGAATTCAAAAATAATAAACAAATGTGTAAAGCTTGTTCAAACACAAAATAACCTGGAGTATAATGCCACAAATTTACATTATGTAACTCGAGGATGATCAACCTATTCCCTAAACAGTTCACCTTTATTACAAATCCCCTGCTGAACAACATTTTTCATTCATATACTCTGCCATTATAATCAGACTTTGATCATAACTTTCACCTCAACCACAACTATAACATGTCTCTAACTGAAGAAGTTGTTGATCACTTACAGGAAAAGCCACTTTCAAATATTTTAAAGCCTCTCTGTGATATCTATAAGATGAATTTTAATGAAACAGGTGACAGTGTCTTCGAGAATTCCATCGGTGAGCTGGCATTAAGGGAACCTCTTACATATTTATCTACTTGATTCACTCTACACGTCAGTCAGGGAAATTTTGTCACTTCCGAGATCAGAAATCTTTTCTCTCAAATGACTCGTATTCAAGACTGGTTGAATTCCACATCTTTCGACTTGGCTCCATTTGAATCACTAGTAGAAACAATTTTAAACATAGTTCAGATTGTTAAGGTGATAAGTTAATTGGGAACATAGTTACTTGGAATGTGTCACAATATTTGTTCAGATGGTTTGATACTTGGTAACTTGATTGCTGGCAGGTGTCCAATACTTTTCTGATGCTGTTCATGAGACAGAACATAGACTACTTATATACTCTAATATGACCCTTGTCATTGTCTACGCTCTCTCTCCTGACTTACTGCCAACAACGTGCCTAGGTAAAACTCTGCAGCTCATGAGTCCATCTCTCATGAGAGGCATCCGCTGTTCCGGTGGCTGGCGCGCGCGGTCTGAGTACGCATTGCTGCAATGCCTCAATCACTTACGTGTAATATCCCAGCTGAGCAATCCTGAACCTAGCTGTTCAGGAACGACAGCAATCTAGTCCATGGTTCGCGCCTGTGGCTTGTATACACACCACAGCATCGCTCCAATCGTTCCCATAAAATGTCTCAGCTCCGCAGTCCTTAGTCCATTACTCAGGAGCGGAAGCAGTTGTATAGTTCCGATAGTGCGCTAGTTCTGCATGTACCTCTGAGCGCTATCCCGTAATTGCCCGGCAATACCTAACCACTTACGGCTAGCGTGTGTGATCAATAGACTCATCACAACGCTGCCCCAATCATTGCCCTGCAATGAATCAGCCCGGCGCTCATGAGTCCACTACTCAGGAGCAGGAGCAGTTGTATGGTTCCGGTAGCGTGCGAGGTCTGCATATACCTCAGGGCGCTATTCCGTAATTGTCCGGCAATGTCTAACCGCTTATGGCTAGCGCACGTGGTCAGTAGACCCTTCACGTTGCTACCCCAATTGTTGCCTTGCACTGACTCAACCCGGCGCTCCCAAGTCCGAGACTCAGGAGCGGCAGCGGTTGTATCCATGGTCAACGCACAATGTGCATATGCATCTTGTTGATACGCTTGAAACAATGATCAAAGGACCCACCGATCAACCAATTAAATTGTCGGCAGACTCGATTTATGGGCATGCTGGAGCTCCACTCGATCCAGCCAGAAAGACAATAGAAGAACTCAAGGAATCAATGTGCCATGAACTGTCTGGATCGGTTTTTATGAATGTGAAAGGATTCTGGAAAAAAGTCTTTGAAAAGCCGAAGTGGTCAAAGTATTGCAAAGCACTATCAAAAGAGTATGAGGCTCGCTCGGGTGAAGAAAATCTGAAATATCCTGATGATTCCACAGAGGCAGATGTGTGGAGATGGATGAAGGCTTCGGAAGAGGAGATTATCAAATATTCCGTCAGCACTTGGACGAAATCAGCAAAGGAGAAAGGAAAGATGGCCAGAAGTAGATTCATGCACTCCATTGAAGCCACACAATGTCAAACATTAGCCAAAGGACAAATCGAAGGAGGGCAAACCAACTGACAGCTCGATTATTTTATCAAGCGAAATAATCTCCCTACTGGTGACGGCTATCACTGGAGCGACGTACTTGTGGTAGGAGAGCTGAAAAAGCTACCAACGTCAGCGTTTTTGGACAAGTTTCTCCAACTTTGTGTTTACATGAGTGAAGTCTTCTTGGCCCAGCCACTACATCATTTTGTTCACGGGTTCATACTTTTCGGAACTCAACTTCAGCTTTGGGTATTCGATCGGTCAGGGCCTTACTGTGAGTCGATCATTGATATTGGGAAATCCCCGAAAAAACTAGTCCACGTGTTGGCTGCTTACATGATGATGAGCGACAAAGAGCACGGGATAGACTCAAACATCTGATATGACGGTGACGAGATTATATCAAGATGCAGGTTCCGGGATCAAATGTCATGCAGGAGTTTTCTCTTGATTCGAAGCCGTTGGTATGTCAGTCGGCGCTTGTCTCTAGGGGCACAACTGTTTACTTCTTTACTGATAAAAAATATGTGGTAAAGTTCTTGTGGAAGATTTGTGGGAAAACATCCGAGGTTGAATTGCTCACGGTTGCAAAGGATGTTGTAGGCATGGCAAAGCTCATCGGATGGCGCGATTTAGTACAGACAAGCACGCTCCGAAAGGGACTTACTTTCACTCAACTCATGGTGAAGTGCACACGACTGGCTGAAAAGGTATTAACCACGCCAGTCGCTTTAAGTGGGAATTCTGTTCAATACCTAAAGAAGAGCACGAGCAAAGCTGAATCTCGCAAACAGAAGAGCGAGTCAGAACAGGCCGGAGCCATAATTGAGTCAGTAAGTAAGTAAACACGAAGCGGAACTAAAGGTCAGTAAACATGTGATATAAAAATTGGAATAAATACTTATAACTTTATGATTATAAAGTACCTCGAAGTTGTCATGAATGCGCTTTTCACATTAGTAGTAAATTATCATCCACATAGTGTAGCATGCAGAGCCAGGGAAATGGAAACAGGTTAGTGATAAATTAGATACCACCAATTGCTACACCCACCCGTAGATCACTGCTAAAAGAGACTAGCTACGGCGCTATCTGGAAGTATGTGGGATTGGTTAATTATCATGTACATAACCTGTAACATAATATAACATAATAACACAATAAGATACCATTTGCATCCCGTAACATTTATTGCCATAATCACCCAAGTATATTCTAAGCCCCCTGAGTAGTCACAACCATTTAATTGAAGATACCAAGTGTATACAACCATATACATCACCACCCTTCAATAGAAGTGTCCCTGTAGTCGAAATTAGATCACGACTGGCTGGAAAAGCCATTCCATCAGGAAAGATCACTTCAGCCAATGAAAGCCTTGACGTTCCTCAAAGTCTGTAGAGACGTAGTAGTCGCATCGAGGAACTGCGAATGAGTCAATCAGTTGGTGGGAAGCGGAAGATCCAGGAAGATGTAGATGTCAATGATCGTCTTAAAAGAGTCCATCTTACCAGCCATACAGAGGAAGCGACATCTGATGAAAATGATCGACTACGCTCTTCTCTTGGGAGTAAATCTAACCACACAAGTACGACCGAAGCGAGTGAAGAATTAATGATGTCGTTTTGTTGTGCTGGCTCGGTTTAGTTGTTAGGAGACAGGGGAACGGAGGATGGGCTGCTGGATTAGGAAAGGGTGGAAAATACAGGCTGGTGCATAGACGCTGTTCATATACTCTACAATCTCTTCACCTGCCGAGTTTAGTGAATCAATCTATCCATATAATATCATACTTCACATCATCCATTAGATGATATTATCAATTGTCGGGATGCACATCTAGCATCACCTTCATAGATCACCATCGTCAGTAAGAGTTCACATTTGATACCTACTGACACCCATTTGGCCACAGTGATACGCACTCAGTGTCCATCGTGCCATCACCCAGCGTGAGCGCGCCATCTCCGCGACTCACCATTGCACATGAGCCCGTGTAATTCCACCGAAGGACAGCAGAGACATAATTGGTATACACCTCACAGCTCATAACCACAACACATTTACGAGTGATTTGGTCCCATCTGGATACAAGATTGAAAGAGCGGAATGTGTTGACATACGGAAGCGCCAGCAAGCAGAGGTTGCAATATCGCCAATCGGGAAACCAATCAATGATTTCAACACGCCGCTAGAAGTAGTAATGGGGCTACGCGACGCCATTAAGGCTCATAGATCTCTTTTTACCGATGCCAAAATATTGCATCGATGTTGAAATTATGGAGTTCAGAGATGAGTCAGGTGATGCTTAATGGAAGTAATTTATGGAGGGTTTGGTTGTTGAGTTTTCTATGATTTCTGTGTTGGGATACACTATGTTGATCCTACTGGGCTCGATAATTAGTAGTCCCGACCGACTGGTGTTTGGCGAACGGAGATTGCGTATACCCTGTGCTAGTGTTGTTTACTGCTGTTAATAGGAGATCCCGCACGGGCTATCTATTGGGGTTAAAAGGAGTCTGGTACCTGTGTTTGATAGAGTAGTCGAATTGACATCCTTTTATCCTTCATTATTGCATAAGCTTCCCTTTACCAATAAAGTCCACGAACTAAGTAGTGGGTTTTACATTTCAATAGGTTATGAGACTCGGTGTCACACGCATTGAAGTAGTAAAAGGAAACGACTCCAGGGACCGTGAATAATTGAATCCCTGAGCCGACTTCTCCGGTGCAACACGAAAGCACAAGCAGTCAGTCCATCGACCTTTTCTCAGGTGCCTTCAGCACAAGATTAGGAACGTGTCTAACAAGACATATTAAAAGAAATCAATCCCAAGGCATCCGACCTTAAAGAAAATGTCGGAAGAAACTAGCTGGGGTATACCTATCCTAAACGGAAAAAACCATGACTCTTGGTTTCGCCACTATCAGGTTAAACTAAGAGGTAGAGGGGTGTACTACGTGGTCACGAAAACATTGGACGAATCGTGTCCAATCGTATCTTCCATCGGAAATACTCAGAAAATTGTTGATCCTATACTCCACAACGAAAAAAGGGAGAAGTACTTTCGAGATGAGGGAACCGCAATCGATCTTATGTTCAAATCCCTTTCCCTCGATGAACAAACCCTGTACGACGAACATGATTCCGCCTTCAGTCTTTGGGCCTATTTACGCTCTAAATACCAGCAGATTGATTCGACCACCGCAAATGAGTACATGATGCTCATTCAGAATTTCTCATTTGACGACATGACTATTATTCAAGCATGGGATAAATTAAAGGAATACCGGCGCAAGTTATGCGCAGCTGATATTAGATCAAAAAATGCGTATCAAGATGAAGCCCTTCTTTTAATCTTGATTCGTTCTCTTCCCATTGAGTATGTCGCAACAATTGATACCCTTGATGCGATGACAGATCTTTCGGTAGAAGAAAAGTTAAAGCGGCTTCAAACCAAGGAGAGTCGCCTAATAGCTAGCCAGCGTAATGAAAATGCTTTTCCTAGCTATCCTACAACAGAAAACAGGCACATCTCATCGAAAGGGTCGCGCACAACTTTAGAGCCCGGTGAAGATTCAGGATATTCTCCACCATGCTACTTATGTGGAAGGAGACATTTTATCAAGGCCTGTCCGTTCATGGAGATCGCACAAGACGCTGTACATGAGTACATGAAGAAAACCAAATCATTTCGCAGTACACCAAAGAATAAAAAATCAGGTCAATCACTCTCTCGAACCTGTTCTCCGTCACAAATTCGACCCTCAGCTAACGTGGAGAAGAGAGTTGGATTCAAGAGCAAGGATAAAGCGTATGAAGCCTGTACTTATTCCGATGTGGAATCTGAAGGTGATTCGGATTTAGACTCTGATAGTCCAACTCACGAACATGCTCAGATCTCTAGAGCACTTATCAGTAAGGCTATTCCATCCACTTGGGCCAGTGATACCGGCGCCTCTGCACACATGTCTGACAATCTTTCTCTTTTCAGATTGCTAAAACATATTCCACGGCGCACTATAATGGTTGGAGGAGGAAAATTATATTCACAAATGAAGGGCGATGTGAAGATGACATGTGAAGATGGATCTTTTATGTACCTACGAGATGTGCTTTATGTACCATTATTAGGAATAAACTTGATGTCGAGTAGACAAGTCTGCCGTCATGGGGGTATGAAAGGTGCTTTTGATGAGGGCCACATGAATTTCAGAAAAAATAATTGCACAGTTATAACCGCCACTATGCATAATGGGCTTTATATTGTATCACACATCGACAATAATGATCATGACCTAGCTTATAATTCGACGAATCTCGACCAAAGTACCAATGAAATGATTGTTGACGAGGAGATTGTGGAAGATAATGAGCTTACAAGTAAGGAAAAAGAAAGATACATCCTATATCATCGACGATTTGCCCATCTTGGTCCCCAAAAGCTTAGGAACTTACACTTAGTCACAAATCTCTCACGTCCGATCAAAGTTCCTAGTTCCAGAGAAGAGCGCGTTTGTGAGACTTGCTTGTTAACAAAGATGAGAAATCGTACTTCTAAGAAACTATCGCCTTGGAAGCTAACAAAATTAGCCTTAATCCATTTTGATATAGCCGGTCCATTTCCACCGTCCATTTGGGGAAATAAATATTTTATAATGATACTGGACAACTTTTCTAGAAAGTTATGGGCTTTGTGTTGTAAAACAAAGAGTGAGGCATTTTCCACTCTTGACCAGTGGAAAACTACTGTCCAGCTACAATCAGGTGAAAAAATAAAAGCTGTACGTGCTGATAATGTAGCTGAACTTCAGAAAGTTATCTCCAAATGGTCACTAGAACAAGGAACTCGTTCAGAACCAACTACAATTGCAACATCCAGTCAAAATGGGCCTGCGGAACGAAATATTCAAACATGCGAAAACAGCATGAGAGCAATGCTTAAAGATGCAAATTTGCCACTTGAATTTTGGGATGAAGCTGTAGAAACCGATGTGTATATACGAAACCGCACCCAAACAGGCCCTGTCATTGATGGAATACAAGTGAGTCCCGAGGAGGCCTTTACTGGTATTTGAGCAGACATAAGCCATATTGCAGTTTGGGGAAGTAAATGTATCTCGTACATCAACCCTCACACCATAGCCAAAGGACAAAGAACAAATAAACTTGTGGATAGAGGACGAGTCGGTGTATTTATGGGTTACAGTGATACGACAAATAAACAATTACGTGTTTATAATCCCGAACTTGGATATACATCAAGGACAAGTAGGCTCAACGTTATGGAACATATTAAAGGTGGCACAGTGGAACTGAGATTTCGTAACTGCACTACAGGCCCTCAAGGCACTGCAAATGATTTTGATGATCGTAAGCCCCGCGGTAGACCTAAAAATGATGTAGATACTCCATCTGTTGCTATTAATGTCAACTTACAACACTCTAGACCGACTCAGCATTCATCAGATTCAGTTGTTCTCGAAACAGGAAATCCATCTCTTGATACCAAAGTAATGGATGTACCAATTCTAGAAACGCCAGCTCTAAATAAATCAATCATGAAAACAGAAGAAAAAAGGCGTAAGAAAGGTGAAAAGGATATAGATAATACGGAATCAAAATTTATTGGTCATCCAATAACAATCCAATCTGTTGTCAATGTCGAGGCATGTGAAAGCCCTATTGCGCAACTAGAAGCCAACGATTTGATCGGTCAGGAACCTCGCGTATCCCAAATTGAATTTCCTACTACAACAGATCAAATAATCTCGGATCAAAAATCTTCAAATGATTTTGATGTTACTGACAGCAATCAGCAGATATTATCAGACGTCTCTCACGAACCAAAAATTGCACCAACACAGACAAATGAAGTAAATCCAAAATCCGAGAAGCCAGCAAAGTGTGGCCATTTACTGAATCCATCCCAATCTAAAGCTACAAATACCAGAGAATTTACTGCCCCAGACCTAGACCATATGTTTATTGATGACCCGTTTCCACCATCCACAAGGTCCTTATTAAATACTGAGACTTGTCCTGGACAGCACCGCTATTTCACAAGATCAAAACGTAAGAAAAATGAAAGCGATAATCTGATGGATGAAGATGAAGAACGGCATAAAAAGATTGCAAGGGTATTTGCTGCCAAAGTCCTTGAGGAAAATGATGAGCTAAATTTATTGGAGTATTCATATCCAGCTGAAATTATTGCTGGTATCAATATACCAAAAACATATTCTCAGGCTGTTAATGACCCAAATTACAGCAAAGAGTGGAAGTTAGCAATTGCGCAAGAGATAGCTAGCCTAGGTCAAAATGGTACTTGGAAGGAAGTTGTTCCACCGTCTGATGCAAATATGGTTTCTACCAAATGGGTCTTCACTATTAAATTAAATACGGATGGATCTGTTGAAAGATTCATGGCAAGATTAGTGGCCCGTGGATTCAGCCAGATTCAAGGTAAAGATTACACAGAAACTTTTGCCCCAACTGTTCGAATGGACACTCTTCGTATCTTTCTTGCCAGGGTGGCAAAAGAAAATTTAAAGTGCAACCACTACGATATAAAGAACGCATTCACGGAATCTCCTTTTAAAAGAAAAAATATATCTATCTCCACCTAAAGGTGTACTGGTAACAAAGGGTCATGCTTTACAGGCATTGCGCAGCTTATATGGACTTAAGCAAGCTGCAAGGGACTGGAACATGCTCTGCAAAACCCATCTAGTACAATGGGGATTTGTTCAAAGCCTTGCAGATCCATGCTTATTCATCCAAAAAGAGAGGCAGATTGAGTTACTTGTATACGTTGACAATATTGCTGCAGCTGCTAAGTCCACTGATGAGCTAGACTGGTTCTTTAGTAAGCTCTCTTCTCGTTTCAATGCCAAGAATCTGGGGGAGATTGAAAAGATACTTGGAATGAGGGTAACGAGAAAGCGTACAGAACGAACTATCTTGATTGATCAAGAGCAATATTTGAGGTCAGTGCTTGAAAGATTTGGAATGACAGCAGACAAATTTAAAGCGAAGAAAATTCCAGCATCCGACTATGAGTTAATTCGTCCCGCAAGTAAAGAGGACAAGAGAATCGATGTCACAGAATATCAACAAGGCATTGGAAGCTTAATGTTCGCTATGGTGTTAACGCGACCGGATATCGCTTTCGTTCTTGGAAAGCTATCTCAATTTATGACTGATCCAGTAGAACATCATGGTCATGCGCTAAAAGAATTGTTTCGCTACCTGCAATCAACTGTCACCCAGAAACTGCGTTACGGACCTGGGGGAGCGCATAAACATTTCGTTGTTTACTCCGATGCCGACTGGGCAAGTGACAAATCTGACCGAAAAAGTGTATCTGGAAGTGTAGCAATGTTTTATGGTGGCCCTATCTCCTGGTCTAGTAAAAAACAGCGATCAGTAGCCACATCCACTTGTGAATCTGAATACGTAGCACTCTCTGCTTGTGCAAAACAAGGTCAGTGGATTGCCCAAATATTCAGAGACTTGGGATGCCCTGACTATATTGGACTAAATTCTCAGAAAGTTCATATGCTAGGCGATAATCAAGGGGCGCTCGCTCTTGTCAAAAACCCCCATCTTCACGAGCAATCGAAGCACATCGACATCTGTTATCATCAATCCAGAGATCTAGCGGAGAGAGGAAAACTTGATGTTGCATATATCCCTACTACAGATATGGTCGCAGATGGTATGACAAAGCCCCTGTTAAGGATTAATTTCGAAAAATTTAAATCACAGCTAGAAGTTGTTATGTAGTAAAACTAGAGTCACCGTGACTTGCTCTGTGGGGGAGTGTTGAAATTATAGAGTTCAGAGATGAGTCAGGTGATGCTTAATGGAAGTAATTTATGGAGGGTTTGGTTGTTGAGTTTTCTATGATTTCTGTGTTGGGATACACTATGTTGATCCTACTGGGCTCGATAATTAGTAGTCCCGACCGACTGGTGTTTGGCGAACGGAGATTGCGTATACCCTGTGCTAGTGTTGTTTACTGCTGTTAATAGGAGATCCCGCACGGGCTATCTATTGGGGTTAAAAGGAGTCTGGTACCTGTGTTTGATAGAGTAGTCGAATTGACATCCTTTTATCCTTCATTATTGCATAAGCTTCCCTTTACCAATAAAGTCCACGAACTAAGTAGTGGGTTATACATTTCAATAATCGAGACATTTCGGTGAATAACATCCTCCTGAAGATCTGTGACGACCCTAAAGATTATGGAGGCATTCTGATCGACCTGGACCTTGCAACTTTGTTCAAGGACGGCAAGGCACAAGGGAAACTGGAAGTGATGACAGGAACCATGCAATTTATGGCACTAGAAATCCTGAAGAACAGCTTCGCAGTACCTGGGGCTGTAGTGTCACACTCGTACCGGCATGATCTTGAGTCTTTTTTCTATGTGTTGTTGTGGATATGTATACGCTATGGATGGCCGGATAACAAGTCACCGCATTTGGACTTCTTAAGAAAGTGGTACTCAGGGACTGCCGAAGAGATCCACACGAACAAGAAAATGCAGATGAAACTCGAAACATTTGGAGAAGAGGTCTATGAATGGATTCCACCTACTTTCAAAGTAACTGAAAATCTTGTCCGAAAACTCTGGAAAATCTTATTTTGTAAGGGCGAAGATATTGCGACGGGTACCACTCATGACCCTGACACTTTGTACAGCCCGATAATCATGGCATTCGAAAAAACCATCTTGAAGCTAAAGTCGTAAGATAATTCTATGTGTGATGGCATCGCCTTTCTTTTTCATGCGAGGAGATCACAAGATTGAGAAATGGTTTGGATTGTAATTGGAAAAAATCCCATGGATAAATATGACCAGAGACTTACAACATGTAAAATAGTATTCAATCCGATCCCTGAAGGTTGATTGGACATAACTTAACAAATTAAACGCAAAACAGTAGCTACCATCAGTAATCAGCCAAGAAGATTTTTGCAAAATAATCCCAGCTGATGCCTGATTCAATCATATTGCACCATATTTCCATGATCAAAGAATTAGCCGAATTTCCTCTGTGTTTGAAAAAGCATCAGAAAATTGTTCGAGACCTGATATAACTTTTGCTAGATGAGAACAAATGAGCTTACCCACGAAATACTTCAGTATACAACGAAATCTTTACAGTAAAAACTTTGCTCATAAATATAATCATGAGGTCGAGCGTTTAGGTAAGGAAGGAAGCCTGGTCTCTATTGAAAATAAAGAAATGGTATAAGTTGTTCATGTGAAGACTCTGTTGTGGAGATGTTTCTGAATTAAAATATGGAAAAGATAAAGACATTCTATAACTGACATGCAGAATGGATGTCACATTAATTAGTGTCAGAGATATCTGATGATAAAAGCGATAGTGTGACAGAAACCGAGTTGGTGATGAATAAATCAATTTAATAAACTATATGAGGAGAAAAGCTAACTTTAGCTACTACTAATAGGTATTTATAGGACTTAATCCTCCTCGTGAATCTACAGACTAGTGACTTGTCCTTAGGCACAATACTTTTACCCAGCCACGTATTTCCAGGTGTCACTAAGTTGTAATAACGCTTCAGCCTCCTGAGTAGTAGTCCCGTTTCGTTCAGCTTCATCTCCCCCTCATACAGCCTCATAGTAAGAATTCTTAGTAACAGGCTTAGGTATCCACCTAAGCTCAAACAACGATCAAACCGTAACAGATAGTAAGGCAGTGCCTAGATGGACCAAGTAGAAGAGAAATTTTTCACATTGATAGCTTAAGTGACTAAAACTAGTGAAGCAAGTTGGCATACTTAGTGAAGCTAATAGTACAGGTAAACTGTCTCTTCAAGTTCTTTGAATTAGGAAAGTGCACTAATATTTGCAAAGAACCTGGATTGAATTTAAAAATCTTCATTTGCATTCACACCAGTCTATTAGATCTGGCAAACATCTCACGTCAGTAAACATGCGTTATCTAAAAGTGACATCCTAATTTAGAACAAAATTAAGCGCAATTATTTACACACCTCATTGTAGCGTAAGAATAGCAGGTTTTAGCGTGATTAAAGCCAACTTTAGAAATGGTTTAATTCGGCAATAGTTCATTCATTGTTCTAGTTTAACGTCTTATTTTGCTTCTATATACAGATCCATGAAGACTGTAAGCCGCTTTGGTGTGAGAAAAAGCTTTCAACAAACAAAACGTGATGTCCTGCCACTCTAAACCGACCCGGCTTAATGCTGTGAACGCTCCTTTCAACCACAAATTTATAAACTTTCCCCAGAGATCGTTAACTCCCCCTTCAATCTGACTAAAGTTATGAGAAATTAAAAAGAGAAGGCACCTCCTCACTCGGCGTTGGTCTTCGAAGTTTTCGAAGAGTTGGCCCCAATGGTGGTGCTGCTGACAAGGCGATGGTTTGTGCTGCTGAGGTTTCGAATACATTGCGTGGTCATCCCGGCCCTTTTTTGAGTCCTTCAGCCTTCTTACTGGTGACCAAAGTGAATCCCTGATCATAAGTTGTTCCGACTATTTGTATTGGCGCCATTGTTGATTTTTTATACCATGTTTCAACTGTTCTCAATAGCAGCTTCATCCGAGCCTTCTCTACACTTCCCTTGTAGACCTGGTAAGTCCGAAACACTGCTTTCTGCCATGAACGGCGCTCCTTGCCACAGTTTGCACAAGAAACTCTTTTCCTCAGACAGTGCCAAGTTTGGTGAGCGCCAGCGCACTCACCGCACCTGGCTGCCTTTCCACACGACGCCTGCGTGTGTCCCCACTGGCTGCAGTTGTAACACTGCTTTGGCTGGGCCCGTGGTGACCACACCTGCGCGGTGAAGAGCATGACATTAATGACAAGCCCCTTTCGAACTACCTCCATTTGCATTGCCTCTAATGGGAGGCTGATCACAATTGATCCTCGATTGCGACCGTTTTTCTTCGATCGCTGGTGCTCCTTTCCATCATGTAGCCACCTGATTCGATTAATCACTAGGCCGGGAATTCGAGCCTTAGTTGCTATCTCAATCTCCCTAATGATGGCGTGGTTTTCGGCATCTCCGCCGCCTTCAATTCGAGTCTGCAAAGGGACACCAGAAACCTCGAGGGGAAAATCTTGCCATAAAATCTTAAACTTGTTAGGTTGGCGCATGTTGAGAGCCGCGTCTCTCTGGGACGCCGACTGGACGAACACCTCAGTGTCGTTGCTTCGCATTTGGTGAATCGCGTATGCGCCTTGAATATGTTGTTGTGACTTTGTTAGCAGCTCTTGAGGCTGCAAGTTTTGTGCGCCATCGATTCTTATTCTGACCGCCGTTTTCGCCATTTGCGGAGCTACGACCGACGCGTAGCTCCTTGGTGTCGGCGCGCCTGAAACCGCTGCTGGTGCAGCTTGTCGTGTGGCGTCCACGATGCTTTTCTTTGCCACCTCCTCCGGCGCTATCATCCTCTCCTCGGTCGGAGATGGGATCTGGGACATTTCCGTCCAGGCCCTTTTGTGCGCGTTGAAGGCGTTGACGGCCTCGTTTACGTCCTCCATTGAGGGTAGGTCCTCCTCATCCATCTCTCCCATTGCGATTAGTCTGACCTGTTTCAATAGTTTCCCTAGGATTTCAAGGTTCTTATCCTTTGGAGTTGTCTGCGCTCCGCTGCCGTTGTTTGATGGTGCCATTATCGCATTTTGCGACGCGTCGAAACCGCTGGATTTACCCACACCAGCACACACACTTGCCAAGTTGGAGCACGGAAAGCGAAAATATGGTAGGAGGGTAATAAAGATGTAAAAATAATAATCACGATGTCAAATTGATGATACGGGCAGCGTGGAACGCTGCGCAGCTTTCTGGCAAAAATGATGTTTTTCTATCCAGATCTTCTGCAATAGTTATAGACATTAAAATAAATCTGAAACTTTTTTCCTCTCACTACTTTCTTGGTATACACGTAAGAAGGCGTTTTCCACGGCTTCATGTATTTTGGAGTTCTGAAACTTGAAGACAATCGAGTCTACACTTAACACAAAGTTGATACACCTCTGGGCTAGATCCCGACAGAGTCAGCTTGGTGAACACGGGCCTCAGAAGGGTTCATGGCTTGAATATAATCATACATTAATCTCCTCCGGCTTGTTGAAAACTTGTTGTTGAGTCAGAGATGAGGTAGAGCTAGAGGTTTACGGGCCACGATGTATGACATAACTGAGATATGGATGTTTGAATTTCTCTTAAGAAAGATACGTGGGACACGGAGTTACATTGTAAATGTTGACTAGAGAGCCCTAATACTACAGATGAAGTCTATGTACTGATAGCCAGGTCATGTGACCTGAATAGCTTTGTTTACATGAGTAGGTGGATTAGTTCCCCTTGACAGTTTCTTACTATTGTTATTGTGCTGCCCACAATGACGAATTCTTCACCTTCCAGTGGTTCCAGCCTAATCACTCAGTATGCTCTGCGTACATGGGATAGCCAAAGCGAATCGCATCCGAATCGAAGTCGAAAGCAAACACATTCATATCTCCAATGGACGACTTCTCAATCATGCAGCACTTACCAATATCTTCTGAGTCCTTAACCGCTTTCTAACCACACATCATCTCGCCTCAACGACCAATAAAGAAGTTGCTCGAATTGCAAACAGGAGCTTGCCCCGTTAATTTACAGCCATTTTTCACTACATATTTACAACGCTATTTGTGCCCGCAAGGAGGAAATGCAGTGGAAAAATTCAGAGCCTGGGCCCTTGCATGTGGGGGACTGTTACTCTAATGGGGCTATACATCTTGAGGAAGGACAGGCTGCTGAGATGTGGAGCGAGAGGGAGAACAAATCTCTGAAGACCATGTCAGGACTGACATTTTTGTGGAGTTTTCAACTTTGGATTTATTGTGGGCGCCAAGGCTAAGATTTCGGCTAATTGGCCAGGTGGGCTTCTTTTTTCGATGAGTCAGCGGCACTCCCCAGCACCCTGGACGGCACAAAAGAAGTAAGGCTAAGCTACTATACAGCAATTATGCCCTGTCAAGACTTTTCTGACATTTCAGCACGACCTTTGGGAAGGAGTTGGAAGGAGGCCAGAAAGGCAGAGTGTGAATTCTCCGAGGTACCCACAAGTCCGCAGCGCTCAGCTGGCCGGCCTCTTCGAACTCGTCAGAAGGATCACTATGTCTTCGGATTTAGTCCTAATGTTGGTATTGGGAGAGCTCCGCACCCAGTGGTTTTTGCGATATTTCCCGGCTGCCATACACCCGCAAATGGCCATCGTTTTGTTGGCTGGAGGGGGGAGATAATGAAGGTCAAAGTATTTCTCTAAGTGTATGATTGAATGAGGACTTGTGAGGGGTGGTACAGTTTGAGGGGAGCTGTATGGAAGGTACAAGAGGGGATATACTTCTGGTATAGGTATGCTTGGCCTGTAGGCAGAGAGGACCTGCATGTCCTTCATAGTCATAGACTCAGACAGGACAACGAAATGATAATAAAATGTCGGTTGAACCATCTAAAATTGTTGTCTCTGTGCCCACAAACACTCCTAAGTCGTAAAAATTCGAAAAATGAGAGTCTTAGTATACCCATTTGTGACCTCTTCACTCGTTCGTCCCATGTCCCAGTTGTCCTTCTTACCTCTAGATGTGAAGCCCCATTAGAGCAAAGATCACCCATAGTCTAAGACCCGGCTTTGTAGATTATTTCATAATTTCTCCCTCGCAAGTAAACATAGCAACGTGATTTTGTAGTTGGAGGTATCCTGTTTTTCATGAGGCAAATACCCGATTGCCATTAGAGTAACGCCATTATTGGTATTTGAGGCGAGGTGTTGTAGTGAGATTAAGGGGGAGGACTCGTGTGAGAATGATACTTCTAACATTTATGGTGAAGTTGTCGATTTAAGATATGCTTGAGGATGCCTTCGACTTCGATAAGGATGCGATTCTTCTTGGCTATCCCAGAAATGCAGAGCATACTGAGTGATTACACCGACACCACTGGAAGGTGAAGAATTAGTCTTTGCTGGCGGAGTGAAAGATTGATTAGTTGAGAATCTTAAATTGTTATAGCATAAAAGCATGAAGGTTGTATTTGATTTTGATTTTGATTGAATTTAATGTTGTGTCTATCTACAGCTTGTGACTATTGTCACGTACTGGACGGCCCAGTCCCTATAGAACTACCCGACGCTCTAGCGCGCACTACAACACCTAGAAATTACAATAGTGTCCGACCAGCTGTCTGCCACTCTGCTTTCCAATTTAAATGTAGCAAATTTCCTTCTACCAGGAACTTCACTTTTTTTTTTAACTAGTAATTTTAAATTATACCCGCAGAACAAGAAAATAAGAATAAATCCTTCCTTATAATATTAACCCCATACCAGATCGTAAGGGAATATCTAATGAGCTCTTTGGATTTTGTCGTAGAACTTCGTGAGCTCAACCCATTTTCTGAAGGCAAGGGCGCCCTCGGGCGTGCCGAGTACCCATCTGATGCCAGGGTGGGGGTGTCGAGGTCCACCGCAAAGACGGGCATAGTTTCTTCCTATACTGCAGCAGAAGAAGTGATCTGGGCTTTTTTCCTCGCCACAGGAGCAAGTCATTAGGGCATCTTCGTGTGCGAAGCGACGATGATATTGAGCGAAATCTCCGCGTCCGGAACGAGCTGCAATAAGCGCTCCAAGTGCACGTCGGTTTAAACCTTTCAGTTCTGGTGTTATTCCTATATTAAGATCAATTCCGAGTTCCTTGTATCTAGTGGGGCCTTCCTGAACCCAGTAGGCGGTGGTGGAAGCGTTGTACAATAGAGAAATTTCTCTTTTTGCTCGTGCTTTAGATAGAGGTAGGAGTGGCGCAGTCATTAGACAAGCCGAATTTGCTAGAACATCAGCTGATTCATTTCCAGGGATTCCAGAATGTCCGGGGCACCATCTAACACTGACTGCTCCTGCTCTAGTATAGCACGCCTGTGTCCTATTTGTGTTAAATTATAAGAAGGGTTGGTCAAACATAATCATCCCTACAATTTAACATAATGGAGTTAGGGTTGTGGTTATTGGTTGCCGAGGAGTTAAAAAGGGTAAGGCGTCTGTTGATTTTATATACCCTGTATTAGTAGTTTCATATTAGCGTGTGGATGAGACTAGGAGCAATAGATTATAGGGTGCGAGATCGCGATACTTCTATTAAGCGCGTAGACGTAGAGACGAAGACACGCGCAACGATTTAACCCTATACTTTATCAAATCTACTTCCAAATATTCCAGTAACAGTACTACTGTATTACCCGTCCAGAGGAATCATATTTTAACAATTTGTCCAACTAGCTGCTAGCTGCCAGCTGCCGAAATTTTGCAATGTGGCATGAGCTTGTTGCAGTTGGTGTTAACAAGAGGAGTCGAAGAGCCGCTACTTGGTTGTCTATGTAGATAGTTACGTTGGTTGCGTAAAAGGCCATGGGATTGGAGGGCAGCTGCTAGACCCTCTGTTGCTCCAGATATTTCTGCGTCGTGTACTTCTGCAGAAGCACCCAGAGGAATGGTTCCGCAGGCAATCTCATGGGTTGCGCCGCGTCGAATTGAGTATCCGGCTCCTGCTTGATTCTCTATCATAGCGCCGTCGGAGAAAACAAAGAGGTCCGTCATGGATTGTTGGGCGTACTATTCAGTGAAGGAATTGACTCCCGCTGTTCGGCCAACAGCGCCTATCTTTTCCAGACATTCATCGCGTCCAACTTCCCAAGTGGGAGGGATGTTACCCTCTGAGAGCTCCCGAGAAATCCTTTCTCGGATCCCGCGCATTCTTGAAGAATTCCACCGTCTATGAAGAGGGTGTCTAGGATCTGCTGCTGCAGTACGTAGGGCGAGGCGATCATTTATGCGCTCGAGCGAGGCTTTTGCGGGCCCCCAACCTGTTTCCCGAAGAACAGCTATTGGTGTAGTACGAAATACAGGAAGTGCTGCGTGAGCAGCATCGCTCATCCGTTGTTTGATCCGAAGGACCAGTCCTTTCGGAGCTCCTTTAGAATACCATGTCTCAGCCCCATAGAGCAAGGTCGCGAAAGCTGCAATTTGGAGCGCTTGTCTCAAAAGTAGAGGGCTCATTCCTCGGGTGACTCTCGAAAGACTTTTAATGTGGATTGTAACAGCCAAGGATCTTCCGCATGCTTGTCTGACATGTTCTCTAAATCGGAGGCTCCGATCGAAGATGACCCCAAGTCAGCGAGTGTGGGCGTTTGGTGTGATCTCAACTCCATTTGCATATACACTAGGTTCTAGTGGAGATCCGTGCTTTCGGTGGAAGTATTGTAGCTCTGTTTTCGAGACTTCAAGGGCAATACCGTTCTCACGTTCCCAGGCTAGGGTCGTAGATAACTGCGTCTGAAGTAACTCTCCGCAGCGGGCGAGAGTTGTTGCGGACGCTATAATTGCAACGTCGTCTGCATAGCCGAAACGCTTTGGGGAGAGATGGAGCATACCTTCAATTGCCAATAGAAATAAGATAGGTGAAGCTGGGGACCCTTGAGGAATTCCGCAGCGTATCTTGAACACCGGAGATATAGTTCCATCCAGTGTAATTGTGGCCTCTCGCTCGGACATGAAAGAAGACACCAATTGTACAACATTGAAGGGCCATCCTTGACCCCGTAGGCAGTGACACAGGCGGCCTTTTTGAATTCCATCAAATGCACCATTGACATCTACAGTAACCATTCCGGCTACCTTTTTTTTGGCCCAGATGTCCTAAATGTTGCAAGACAATTCAGTGGTGAGATCGGTAGCTGATCTCCGTGGGACTGCGCTACACTGATCCCGGGAAAGAATCTGATGTCTCAGCGCTAAAAATGAAAGACGACGCGCCACAAGTCTCTCCAATCCCTTGCCAAGGCACGACGGAAGAGCAATTGGGCGGTATGATGTTGGGAGGGCTCGGTTAAAATTTCTAGACTTTGGTATTATAACAACGTTAGCCTTCTTAAATGCGCTAGGGTGTATCCCTCACACATCACATTGTGTTGTGGTTATGAGCTGTGAGGTATATGGCAATTATGGCTCTGCTGTCTGTCGGTGGAATTACACGGGCTCATGTGCAATGGTAAGTCGCGGAGATGGCGCGCTCACGCTGCGTGATGACACGATGGACACTGAGTGCGTATCAGATGGTGATCTATGAAGGTGATGCTAGATGTGCATCCCGACGATTGATAATATCATCTAATGGATTATGTGAAGTATGATATTATTTTGGATAGATTGATTCACTAAACTCGGCAGGTGAAGAGATTGTAGTGTACATGAACAGCGTCTGTGCACCAGCCTGTATTTTCCACCCTTTCCTAATCCAGCAGCCCATCCTCTGTTCCTATGTCTCCTAACAACTCAACCGAGCCAGCACAACACCATCAGATGTCGTAAATAGAATATTACCGGAGCCTAGTGTTGCAACTGAGCCCCCTCCAGCGACACAAACAGTTTGAGAAAGTGCAGAGTAGTATTGTAAATCATTTTTACTGCTTGATACGTGATAATCTGCCCCACTATCTAATTGATAAGATACATTTTCTGAAGACTCCATGACTGAGAGAACTTGTTTCTGGTTGCCTGGGCGCCCCACGCTTTGTTTCATGTCTTTAGTTTGCTTCTTTGAACCTTTCTTTTTCCTGCAATCATTTTCTACATGACCCAAATTATGATAGAAGATGCACTTGTTGAAATTAGAGGGTTCACGACTACACCTATTGCTTTCTATTAGTAACAGTGACTAAGCCTTATGTAAGGCGTGTGTAGCGAGGTTGAAGCGAGGCTACGATTCTTTCACACACACAAATGGGGTTAAGGAGTTAATGGACATAATATAATATGATCACATCTTTGTACATAGAAAAGATATATATCTTCTATATTTGCCAATGTCATACTCTTCTCTTCATCTACTGATACTATTCTCTATCATCATTGCATCACAGTCGCTCTCAATCTTTACAATAGCACTTTATCTGATTATCTCGTCCTGAAGTACCTTTTATTCTGACATTTGATGTCCACTTGAGGCATTTAGATATGGTCTCATTGTGAGACATATCACAACACCAGTTTGCCAGCTCAGGCTGCATATTTCGGACATTAAATAGGAATGGTTGTTTCATGTGATACTTAATGACAGGCGTAGCTGGGCAGTGTTCTTTCAAATTCAGAAACCGTTTTTGTTACTCCTTAACATAAGAAGACAGCGACAAGTTCTGAGGTTGGAAATTCCAGAATTGGGCAGAACTTGATAAGACTGTCGAGAAGACATTAGATTGAGATATTGAGACAATTTCATGAAGTATATATTGGGGGCTGTCACTTGGTGCTGTTCTGATATCAGTTGCAGTTTCCTTTAGCTTTGCAGCCCACCATCTAGACCAAATTAATATAGTCCTACTGTGAGGAGGTTGTGTTAGACTCTACGAGTCAACTGAATAATGAGTTAAGTAAAAGTAAAAAGTGTCAATTAATTCCTGGCTGCCCTTTCTCTTACTGATACTATCTAGATTATGTACGTCCAGAAAATGGCAAATACTCTATGTGTCCCCAACTTGTCCCCATGGACCAAGTTCTTCATGGTTTGGAACAAAACATCCCTAGTCAGAACAGATAGAGTTCTTATTGCTTGTCACGGTTCGAGTGTCAATGCGGGAGCAATCAGATATACGAAGGTAGTTTATAATTTACTCTATGGCTCACTATCAGAGTATTACTTCAACTATCTATACATTTATGAAGATCTCTAGAATACTCGTTCTTGGCTGATATCTGCTTCTCGTATATTTCAGTCATAGTAGTTCCCAGTCTTGCTACCAATTACTAGAATATTCCAGTTACAGCTGAACTGATCTGGAATAAAACTAGACTACTGTAGAATTATAGAAGCACGTGAATAAAATCACGTGCCCCACAACAATCGGCTCACAAGCCGTTACATTGCTACAGTCCAAGCGAAACACCTTTGTCCAAAACAACTAACTCCAAGCTTTGTAAACCTAACTCCTTAAACTTTATATCTGACATTAATTGCCTCCAAACATATCACAGTTTGATAGGTTGTTCTAGGATAGCTGCTGATGATTGAGTGAGGAAGATGAGTCTTTTGATGGCGTTTTGCCATTGGAACCAGTTTGAATGAGTAAGTGTAGGTACTTGAGTTACCCTCTCAATACTATCTAGGCGAGTTGAGAGGGTCCAGATTTCGGTTTTCTTGTTTAACTCTTTTAACGAGTTTTCGAGTTCTTTGGTTGAGGCAAATTCAATGCCAGATATCGAAATTTGAGTGTCTTCATTTGTTTTGTCAAACTCTGTTTTGGCCTCTAGGGAGGGCTTACTGGAAGTTAGAGATGACATGGTGGCTTTGTGCGAGAGTTGCTGCGTAAGCTTGCTTAGACAAGTAGACGAACGCAAAGACAAGATGCACAGAGGAATATATGTTGTTGTAATACATTGCGGAAGCTTATTAGCGGCGGAATACGCGACGGGCCACAACCTGTTATTATTATTTATTATTATTATTAATTCATTTTATTGTCCTATCTGAGTCTATGACTATGAAGGACATGCAGGTCCTCTCTGCCTACAGGCCAAGCATACCTATACCAGAAGTATATCCCCTCTTGTACCTTCCATACAGCTCCCCTCAAACTGTACCACCCCTCACAAGTCCTCATTCAATCATACACTTAGAGAAATACTTTGACCTTCATTATCTCCCCCCTCCAGCCAACAAAACGATGGCCATTTGCGGGTGTATGGCAGCCGGGAAATATCGCAAAAACCACTGGGTGCGGAGCTCTCCCAATACCAACATTAGGACTAAATCCGAAGACATAGTGATCCTTCTGACGAGTTCGAAGAGGCCGGCCAGCTGAGCGCTGCGGACTTGTGGGTACCTCGGAGAATTCACACTCTGCCTTTCTGGCCTCCTTCCAACTCCTTCCCAAAGGTCGTGCTGAAATGTCAGAAAAGTCTTGACAGGGCATAATTGCTGTATAGTAGCTTAGCCTTACTTCTTTTGTGCCGTCCAGGGTGCTGGGGAGTGCCGCTGACTCATCGAAAAAAGGAGCCCACCTGGCCAATTAGCCGAAATCTTAGCCTTGGCGCCCACAATAAATCCAAAGTTGAAAACTCCACAAAAATGTCAGTCCTGACATGGTCTTCAGAGATTTGTTCTCCCTCTCGCTCCACATCTCAGCAGCCTGTCCTTCCTCAAGATGTATAGCCCCATTAGAGTAACAGTCCCCCATAAGCCAAGACCAAGGCTTTGTATTTGTCGACTTGATTTCCTCCTTGCTGGTATAGGTAGCGTCTTAAATTTGTAGTGAGAGATGGCTGGAGATTAATGGGGGCAAGCTCCTGTATGCAATTGGAGCAACTTCTCTATTGGTCGTTGAGGCGAGATGATGCATGGTTAGAGATGGGTTGAGGACTCAGATGATGATGATGAGAGAGGCATTGTCGAGAAGTTGTCAAATGGAGATGTGTTTGAGGTTGCTTTCGACTTCGATTCGGATGCAATTCTTCTTGGCTATCCCAGATATGCAAAGCATACTGAGCAATTACACCGGCACCACTGGAAGGTGAAGAATTCGTCTTTGCCAGCTGGCCACAACCTGTTATAGCATAAAAGCATGAAGATTGTTTTATGTTGGAATTTGCGACATTTCTTACCATAATCGGCATTCCTTGCAAATATGAACAACTTTCCTGCATGCTGCACAATACATCCTGTATTCTGCGTTTTGATTTCTTTTTGCTGATGAGATATTCTTTCATGCATTTATATGTGCGGGGTAATATCAAACTATATGCAAATGCAGTGAGATATATGGTCATGTTTACTTTGCAACAAATAGGATGGCATTAATGGTACGGGGTCAGCTGTGCTGTAGACTTTTTACTGTAATAATTATTGTTTGCATACCCACTTTAACTCTAGGATATGCGCACATAAATTCGCGTTTTACATATAACTTAGAACTTTAATGGAAACAATATTCTTTGAGCTATACTTTCTGCTCCTCTTACTATGAAATCGCAACATTTCATTTATTTATTTGTGTAAGAATTCACAGCAAAATCATGCGAATTCTACGAGATTGTATGTAACTGAGCCAGATCGAGAAGGCAATTAATCATCAAAAGAACTCACTATTTTATTCTTATATCCTACTATGAGAGTCTGATTTTAATACCCCTCTCTGTGATCCCTTGTCACTTCCAACAAGTGCATGAGGCTATTCTAGTATCTTCTTCAATGCCCTCATGTGCGCAATTAGTAAGTACCATATCCCTGTTATTGATCTGCATCTTTGTTTTACTTGTTATATGAAATGGGGAACGTACACTTGCGTTTGACAGCTAAGATATGTTATTTTATCAAGAGTGAATTGTAGATGACTCTATGGATATGTATTCTAATTTACAGTGGGAAATACTCCCATTTTATACCCCATGGACTCGCTTACGAGCAAATCATATGCCCATCATGCTTACTCATCCAGTGTGCCTTGCCTGAACAAATGCGCCAAACATGTCATGTGAGTTGTCCATGCCTGAGGTACCTTGATGACACACTCACCCTCCATGCGCTACCTGCCAGGGCTACCTTAGCTGAGCACAACTATTTTGCCTATGAACTGTACCCCAGTATGATAGACTTACAGAAAAAAACACATTTTCAACAACACTTTTGGCTGCCTAACTTACACAGTCCTCGAAACCAGCGCTTTCGTATACCATCTACAACCTCTCACTGCCACACACCTCACTCACTCATGCCACCACAGTCCTCCGTAGAGGCTGGCACTTTGCCCCCCCTCCCACCCGCAAATTCGACGCGTCCTGACTTCGAAATGGTCCTCACAGGGCCACCCAACCATCACGAAAATTTACAAACAAACTGTTGTGCTGGCTCGGTTGAGTTGTTAGGAGACAGGGGAACGGAGGATGGGCTGCTGGATTAGGAAAGGGTGGAAAATACAGGCTGGTGCACAGACGCTGTTCATGTACTCTACAATCTCTTCACCTGCCGAGTTTAGTGAATCAATCTATCCATATAATATCATACTTCACATCATCCATTAGATGATATTATCAATTGTCGGGATGCACATCTAGCATCACCTTCATAGATCACCATCGTCAGTAAGAGTTCACATTTGATACCTACTGACACCCATTTGGCCACAGTGATACGCACTCAGTGTCCATCGTGCCATCACCCAGCGTGAGCGCGCCATCTCCGCGACTCACCATTGCACATGAGCCCGTGTAATTCCACCGAAGGACAGCAGAGACATAATTGCTATATAACTCACAGCTCATAACCACAACACAAACGCAGAGTCTATCTGCGAGGCGAGCTGCCAAACTACACCGAGTCAATGGGCGTTACCTTGACTAACTTCCTCGCAGACGAAGCGAGGGCTTTCAACACACGCTTTGCAGAGGTTCAGCGTCTTATCAGTAGGTACATTGACCTACTGGCCGGCACAACCGACCATCAGCTCCGCCGAGCCGTTGAAAAGAATGGACAGGCCCTACAGGCCATGATAGCGGACATTCTGCGTGGAAAACCCCAGCCCCGATCAAGTGGGCCACTAGAGGCTGCCAGTGGCAGCAAAACAACACCCCCTGCCGTGCCGGCTTCTGGGCCGGGAGGAAAGAATACCGTAAACATTTCGCGACCAGTGCAAATCCTCGCGAGACAAAGCAGCAGCCAGATAAAAGGCAAAGAGCCGGCTTTAACAATGCCTACTACACCAATTGAGGGCGATGGACCACAAAGCTCCAAAACTACTGAGAGATCCTGGACCCAGGTGGTTAGGAAAAAGCCAAAGCCTGTACAACCAGTCGCGGCAACACCGCTACCAGCCAGCGTAACTACGCAAACTCCGAGGCCTAATGCCTCAGCTTCAAAACCAGCCCGCCCAGATGAGCGTGTGTTCCTTCGGGTCAAGCCCGACTATCCGTGGAGACGTATGGCTCCACACTTCATAAAAATAAGCATTGTGAGCAAGCTGCGCCTGGTTAACTCTGCAACCAAGCAAGTCACTGTCGTAAACTCAGGGTTTGCAATACAGGTAGAGGGGGATGGAGCAAGAAGCACGCTCCTCTCGGGTGCCGCTCTCTTAGATAGCGCGGAAATGAAATTGGAAGCTGCCTCTAATTGGATCTCTGTGCTTGCACCAAATATTCCTGATAGGCTTTACACCCTTGAAGGTCCAACCCCAGTTACATCAGAAATGGTGATTGAAGAAGCGACCCTTAAAACCGGCGTCAGACCAACCTCAGCTCGTGTATTTGCGACAAGCACAGCGAGGTCATCAGCTGACTGGGTGTTGCACTTTGCAACAGGAAAACTAAAACTGGGTGAAAGACTCTTCGAATAGAGCGGTCGCCTACATGAACTCCAGCGCAAGCCCAAAATTGCGAAATGTAACCGGTATTGGGGACACCACCCCACAAAAATTTGCTCATGAGCTGAACGATGCTCGTGTTGCGGCTCAATTGAGCACAGAGCTTCCGAGTGTAAACAAAAATCCCGAGGTGCATGAACTGCCACGGGCCACACTCTACAATTGAGCCACATTGTATGGCAAGACCAACCCGGGTAGGCAGTAAAGCTGTGCAGCGAACGAAAGACCAGTTGGCAGTAATACGCGAACAGGATCTCAAAGAAAGGAATGCTTCGATCCGCGAACTAGAAGCAAAGCAGAAAGCCACCGAGGCTACTACTGACAACGAAAACACGAACGTAACTCAATGCCCGTAAGGGACCACAACCTTACCGAGCTAGACACCACAGCAACAAAGATCTCGTTCCTCTGCGCTAATCTAGTCAGAGGAGACCCGGCTACGGACATCATCCTGCAATCTGCTTGGCATTTAGGATCCAATGTCCTACTCATCCAGGAACCCTGGACTCAATTCTACGACGGAATATGGCTCACCAAGTCACACCCCGGTTTCGAAAAGCATGCTCCTCTTCGTACTGCTTCTGACCCTGCAAGGCCACGTTCGCTTATTTTCACGCGAAAAGGTATTAAGTGCCATCAGCAAGCTATATGCAAAGCATCACCAGACTTAACCGCAGTAAAGGTCGACGCTGTCACTTTTGTCTCTGTATATCGCGCTCCAGGAGTAGATCTACGGCCGCTACTATCTTGGGTTCCTTCTGGGCCTACAGTAATTGGCGGCAACTTTAACGCAGTATACCCTGACTGGCAGCCCATGGCTTCCAGACCACACAGAGACGGTCAGGCGCTAACCAAATGGATGTTCGAGCATGGTATGGACCTATCTTCTAGACCCGGCATTCCGACACACAATCTTGGAAACACGCTCGA